AGAAAATTAGATCAGTGCAAAGACAAGGCCAACACTTTGTTTGTGACATCTAAGCGTGTAAAGAGAAAATTGGAAAAAATGTCAAAAAATAAATGAAACCATTTCAGTCAAGAGTCAGATAAACACATTAAATTTTAAAGTATCTGAAGATTTTAAAACTTTGAAAAAAACATAACACACCGCTTGATAGTCTTGCAACGCAAGTAAAAACATTTTCAGGACAATGCAAGAAATGTATTAACGAAATGAAGGCACATTTTGTTAACAAAGTAAATTGCCAGGCAGAAAATGAAGGAAATTGCAGTATAATAGGAATAAATATTATATCTGAAGCTGAAATTCTGTTAGCAGACTGCACCAACGAATCGCTAAAAATTCTAAATTACGAGGATAAATCACCTCAAATTAAAAATTGCAGATATTCCACAAACTAACCAAAAAAAAATTCTTTTCATCTGCGAAAATGTTACCAAAAAGGCAAATCTTGTTTTGAATACGAAATGTTTGATGAAAGCACAGTCTGAATCCCAAAAAAGGATTATTTTGGGAATAGATCACCCCAATGGGTATTGGCAGGCCCTTTATTGATCCTCTCGTGTTCGGGGTATTAGATAGGGAAGGGTCATATCCTTATAGGTTTAGCGATACAAGCTATTGAAATTTCCAAATATGTAAATCTGATAAAAACAAAAAAAAAATTTCGATTTGAACGGACAGCGGTGCCGTGTATAAATTACATCCGGGGAAAGAATCTCAAATAAAATAGAAAAAAATTTAAACCAGCGGGGCTTAACATTTCAAAACTTTGGATTTTGTGTTTTTGTTACCCAATAAAAAGCGAATCGCTCGCAGTTATTGTACCTGGTGTGAGAGCGATTCTGCCTTTCCATGTGCAGCATGTATTGAAGCCATATAATATCAACATTTCTAAAGAGCGAAATAAAATGTTTATCAGTGAATTACCGGTCTCTGTGGACAGAAATGTCATTAAAATATTTGAACTAAAGTAACATTTAGGACTGTGTCACAAAATAGATATGCTTGTATAATTTATTTGTTTAGCTTTTGTCCCTGCCAAAGGGTGATAAAGTTAACAGTATTGTGCTGGTACAATACTATCACCATTTTTATCTTTATTGAAACAGGATGAAAGGTTAATAAGAATATTCACATAGATAAATGTTTTGTTAAAGTACTGATAGCGTTATTTCAATGTTTAAATTATGTTGTTAAAATATAATGCACGTTTTTTTTTTTATTTTGTTTTTAAATTCTCACTTAATAATTATTCTTTGTAAACATTTGTATGACTATTGTTCGCGCGTTTGACTATTGTCTGTGCCAACGTGATATAGAGATTACTGTGTCATTGTACCTTTGACACTATAGCCATGTTTATAGTTATTTAGGTACTACATTTTACAAAAGGAAGGACAGGATAAAGAATAGATACCCAAATAAATGTTTCGTAAAAAGCAGCAAAAGCATTAAGTTAATGCTATACATCATTCTGTATATATACTTCACATTTCTTTTTTAAATTCTTCCTTCATATCTTTTGTAAACAGTTATATCATTTCATTATAGAGGAACCATTTAAGACATATAAAATGATAAATTTGTACGTATACAGTTTTTATTTTTTAATTCAAATCTCATTATTTTTTTAGAATTGCATGCCGTGAGCACAAATCTGCTTAAGTATCTCTTCTGTGATTTATTTTAAATAATATTAACTCGCATTTTTTTGAAATTTAAAATTATATATTTTGGTTTAAATAAAAATAAATTTAAACAAAATATATTTTATAATTACAGTTTCGTCCTTGATATTTTATATTTTACAAAGGTGAGATATCAAACAAGGGAAACTATCATTAGTGTTTATTTTCGAATTCATTGAAGCATTTTGCTGTATTCTAAAGTAAAAATGTTACCACCATTTTTTCAAATTTTATTTTTTGATGCGATTTTGATAACAATGTTTTCATTTGTATTCTTTGTATTATATAGGAATAAAAAAAATCAACAAACATATAATTTTTGTTTCGTTTGATTAAAGAAGACAGTACCTGAAATACCTTGTAGATCCGTGTGTCACGGGATAAAATATAGATTACAAATAAAATCTCCTGTATCACAAATGTATATATATTCCAGCAAATGGCAGACGCTAAACATGTATATACATGTATGTATTGGAAATGGTATGCGATAAAACTCTTGATCGAAATTTTTCACATGAATTTTTAACAGACGTAGATAACATGACATTAAATTTTTAATAATTATGCGACAATATGTGATCTTTTTCATATTTAATTTCACTGACAAATCCCTGTGTCTGTATGCATGCTAGATTTATACGGTCAGCCATTTTCATGTAAGGTAAATAATAATTATGATGTTAAAGTTTTGTAAACATTTCTTGTCGCATCATGGGGTTTATTCTTCAGTATTTATCAACATGGGGTTATACTGATACCAAATATACAACAATTACGAAATAAATTGTGAGGTTAAAATGTAACGATCGTAAATTATTATAGAATAACCCACATACGGGGTCTTTTAGGAACGTTTTTACGTGCATGTATGTATGTAACATTTCTTCATATTCCAATCGTTTCTTCAGAACCATTTCAAATACATGTATATATCGAATGTTATTTAAGTTATTTAAAATCTGTATGACATTTACATAAGACGGTATGGCGAGTAAAATCTGTATGACATTTACATAGGACGGTATGGCGAGTAAAATCTATATGACATTTACATAGGACGGTGGCGAGTAAAATCTATATGACATTTACATAGGACGGTATGGCGAAATCATTCCAGATATCTATGTCAATATCGCTTATCGTGATAACCTTTTCTTAAAGTATCACCATATTTCACATATCGTTAAAAATTGTTTTGATGAATATTGAACTAAGACGCATGTTAGAGAAAATGTTGTCACGAGTTACATTTTGAGGTCAATTTTCAATTGCAACTCTTTATAATGTATTATTGTTGAAAAAATAGATTATTTATACATTTGTAAGAAACTATTCGAAAATGTGAATTAATAATATTTTTTGCTTACTTCCAAACATTTGGAAAGCAAAATGAATTGAAGTTCGTGTCATTCACAGTTTAATGTAATAAACAATTTGTTAAATAATAAAAGTATCAAAGTCCAATGACCAACCTGTTAACACACGAAATAATTTTAATAATATGTGATCATACTGATGTTAACAGTTTTGATGATATCGGATGATAGTCAATTATAGTGATTTATGAATGATCTTTCTCAATTTTTCTCAATTTTAAGTATAATATCTTAGATTAGAAAATATCTGCTACTCGTGTAAAATATTTATAACTCATAATCACAGTCGCGACATTTACTTTCTTATTTTTTCTAATTTGTCTGTTTTATGAAAAAACCAGCATAGTCCAAACAAATTTGACATTTGCAGTTATATTATAAACAATGAACAAAGATTATAAAGATTCAGTTTATTTTGCAAAGCTAAGGGGTCTTTAATGCAATAACATGAGTAAAATGAGATGACAATTTTGAAACTGCGAAAAACTGTTGTTGTTGTTGTACAATTTTGAATTCAATGGCATTCTTTTAAAAACATAAGAGTTAATTTTGTAGGGCGAATAGGACTTATTTGACGATGTAAACAAATCATGTAAAGGCTACGTTTTACTGTCTGTAGAATTAATCTATTATTCACTATCATTTCGTACTTCAATTCTTATTTTTTTCTGAAACGAGAACATACAAAAGACTTTAAGATTTAGGAGTTAATCAATACTGCGCAGCAAAGGTAAAGTTTCACCTAAGACATGTTCTATGCCTTGAAAATAAGCTAACTCAATTAACTATTCTCAGTCATTCTGGTTGTATACAATAAATTAGAAATGCAAACGATCAATAAAAAGTATACTCCCTATCAAATTTATTGAGAAATGTGTCAATACGTGTAAGCAAAATAAACAAATGATAAGAGAAGTAATACTCAGAAGTTGCAATAGAAAGTTCATAAATCTCGACAAGGTTATTTAACACATTTGCATTTTGGATAACATGACACATGGTCGCATAATTCATTACACTTATAAATCTTAAAAAAATTAAAAAGGGGTGAGAAAAATATAGACAAATATCTCAACCTTACAAGAAATAAAAAATGTAAATGCTACAGCTTTGTAATAAATAATTTAAATGAACATCTAGAAATAGAGGTTATGAGGCTATTAATGGAAAAAATATGTACAATAAGTGTTTCAAAACTTCCCATTTATGTTTTTTATTTTTTTTAATTGTATGCTTTGGAAAATTATCTTAAATAAAAACGATTATCTTATCTTACAAGTATCTGCTATGAGCAAACAGAATTACATTTTTGAAACAAAATATTCCATTGCTGTTATAGTACATTTCGCGTTCATTTCATGTGAACATCGGAAATTATCAGTTTATTTTCATTCAATTTTAGTATGGTTCCTTTTCACGATATAAACAAAACATATAATGTTAATTGACAACCCAATATGGCTTTGTATCCTTCAAAAAAAGGCTTTATATTTAATTTATCAAAATAAAGTTGCGTTACACCAGTTGCTGCCGAGACAGCTACGCTCATTCAAAAGTTTTAACAAAATTGTTTTTCGAAAAACCTGGTTTAACGGACGTTCCACGGGTGAAAACTTTACTCTAACTTAAATAATAAATTCTCCTTTGAATACAAGCTCCAGATTAAAAGAAAAACAGGTCTTATACCCTTGAAAGTAAATATTACACTTATTTAGATGTTTCAGAAGGTCTTTTTATATCTGTAATGATTTATAAAATATAGGCTATGCAAAACAGTACACATACTTTAACATATAACTCGTGGTGACGTTTATACACTTAGATTTAACCCCCTTGTAAACTATCTAATAGCCTAGTTAAATTTAACTTCCTTTTCGGAAAATATTTCTTTATGACTTTCAAATTGTTAAACAATATTCGTCATGTTAAAGGATTTTAATTCGTTTATTCAATAGGAAGCATTTACGATATTGTAACAATGAAAACTTTATATTGGGATTTATTTTATGTCAATTTGGCGGTTTTTCATGTTCAGACACGAATTAAATAACTAGTGTTTTATTTTTATGCACAATAGACACTACTAAATTAAAAAAGAATTACATGTAATATAACATATTATAACCAGAACTATGTCTTATTTGTGAATTCACCATAGTATGTGTTTAAAGAAAAAACATTGGACATTTCGTTGAATAAATTTAAAATGGAAGTCTCTGGACGTAAGGAATCTTCTGTTAGATTATGCCAACCGTGCCAGCGTGACGGTGATACTGCACAAGCAGAGGGTTATTGCGATAACTGTAAAGAGTTTATATGTTCATCGTGTATCAAGGCACACCGGAAGTTGGCAACTACCAAACTCCACGTAATTAAATCCAAAGATGAAATGCCGACATATCAGACACAAAGCGACCCGTGCACTGAACTGTGTGATGTTCATGTAAACGAAATAGTAAAGTTTTATTGTCAAGAGCACGATAACGTTGGTTGTGGAGATTGTATGGTACTTCAACATACCTCTTGCAAGGTTCAGCTCGTTTCAGATGTATCTAGTAACTATGACAACAGTGTGCACCTAAGTTTAATTAAACATAGAATTGATCACCTCAGGAAAAACCTTGATTCATGTAAAAAAGAAATAAAATGCAGTCTGAAAGCAGCAGATCAAATAAAGACCGAGGTAGTCAAAAAAGTCAAGCTATTTCGTAAAGAACTGGATGATTATCTAGACAAAATGGAAGCAGACCTTTTACAAAAAGTAGACGCAATAAATGATAGAGATGTATCATCACAGAAAAAGCTTCAAAATCAGTGCGAGGTATTATCTGATGAATTAAAAGAAATTCAAAGAAAATTGGACCAGTGTAAAGACAATGTCAACAATTTGTTTGTGACATCTAAAGGTGTACAGAGAAAATTGGAAAAATGTCAAAACATTAATGAAACCATTTTTGCCAAAAGTCAGATAAACACTTTGAATTTTAAAGTATCGGAAGACTTCGATACCATGAAGCAACATAACACTCCCTTCGGCAGTCTTACAACACAAGTAAAAACATTTTCAGGGCAATTCAAGAAATGTATTAATGACATGAAGGTACATTTTGTTAACAAAGTAAATTGCCAGGCAGAAAACGAAGGAAATTGTTGTATATCAGGAATCACAATTATATCTGAAGCGGAAATTTTGTTAGCAGACGGCGCCAACAAATTAAAAATTCTAAATAATAAGGATGGTAAAGTCACCTCGACACTGAAATTGTCAGATACAACCGGAGGCATAACCACAATCAGTTCATCATCTGCTGCAACATGTTTACCAATTAAAGGCAAAATCTTGTTTGTGAATACGCAAAATGGTTTGACTGAAAGTCACAGTCTTGATGTCAGGAAAAGATGTAACTCTATACACCATCGCAATGGTATATTGGCAGTGTCCTTTGTTAAACCTCCCGCTGTTCAGATATTGGATATGGAAGGTCAGATCCTTCATGAGGTTAAAGATGCAAGCATATTGAAATATCCACGATTTGTTTATCTAGGTACAGAATATGATAATATGTTTGTGTCTGACAAAGACAACCATGTCGTGTACAAATTTACACTCCAGGGAGAACTGATAACTCAAAATAAAACCGATAATAATGATAAACCAGCAGGCTTAACAGTTACAAACTGCGGATGTGCTGTTGTTTGTTATCCAAAAAAGAGCGATTCGCTCGGAGTCATTGTACCTGATACATGTAGGAGAAAGATTCTGCCTTTCAATGTGCAGCATGTATTGGAGCCACTTTATGTCGACATTTCTGAAGCGCAAAATAAAATGTTTATCAGTGAATTACCGACTTCTGTGGACTGCAATTTCATTAAAATATTTGACTTAAAGTAAAATTTAGGGCTCTGTCAGAAAATCAATATGTTTATTCATTGGTGTGAATATTGTTTGTGTGTTTGACTAGTGTCCGTGCCAACGTGTGATAAAGTTTCAAAGTGTCAAAGTTTCTTTATAATATCTTCAGTTTATCTTTATTGAGACACTATATACACTTTACGAAAAGGGAGGATAGGATTAATAAGAGTAGTCACACAGATAAATGTTTTGTAAACAGCACTAATAGCATTTATTCAATGTTATAAATTGTGTTGTAAATAAACAGAATTTTTTTTACTTCATATACTTTGTAAAAATATATGTCCCCACATTATAGACGTTTAATGTGACACAATTATGTTCAGCATTAATTCAATGTTATAAATGATGTTTATGTGGTACATATACTGCACGCTTTTTCACTGGATATAATTTTTAAACAGATGTACCATAATCATTACGTTATAGAGAAAGAAAAAAAAACATTAATTATGCGACACAATTATGTTCAGTATTTAGTCTTAGGTTAAAATGTGGTCTGGTTCTTTGAAAATTGCATGCCGTCAATGGAAATCTGCTAGTAACAGTAATATTTTATGTTTTAGGGTTCGAGTGTCCCATTTTATAATTAATAATAATTTAATGTATATTCTTAGTGGAATACCACAATCAATATATAAATTATGCACAAGTTATCCTGAGTTAACAAATATATATTAAAAACAGTAACAATTATCTCTAGTGAAAAGCTACAATGTTATATAATCCAATGCATGTTTTAAATTTAATTTCATAAAATGAAAATACTTTTAGTATAAAAATTTAAAAATATAAAATTTTGTTTTTTTATTTTATATTTTACAAAGATGAGCTTTCAAAAATAAAATTATAATTATTCTGAACATGAGTATGTTACCACATTTTCTTATTTCTTGCTTTGATTTTGATAACAAGTTAAAACTTTGACATTTGTATTCGTTGTATTAGATCTGAATAAAAGCAACAAAAATATGATTTTTGTTTCGTTTAATTAAAGAAGACCCTACCCGAAATATCACGCAAGTTTCTCACTTTGTGTATCGTGATTAATTATAAATTACAAATATAAACGCGCGCGTGTGTGTTTGGAATTGTTAACCCTCGCTACCAGAAAGAGACCAAATGAGCGAGCAAGATATAAATGATGTATTACAAAAGTATATTTTATCCTAATAAACTGCAGACGCTTGACACGTACTCGTACTTTTACTCGTACCCTATATTTTTTTTTCAACGGATTTTCTCTAATTTTGAAAATTGACACCTTCCCGTCATTAAATGACCAACCCATGCGTAAAAAATTGACCCCTTTTAAAAATCAACTATAAGCAGGCCATATTTGAAAATTGGTAACAGTTAAATGATATTGAAAAATATGGTCATACACATGAAACATTAATATTTCTATATTCCTTTCAGAATTTTACGTGATGAACATTAATGCGTTTTATTAAAGTGGAACCGGAGAAAATAACATTTTGCCAATTCATCGCCAATAACTTTAATAATGAACTGCTATATTTTACTTATGTAGTGAACTATAATATTACATTGGATGCAGAATAATGTATGCTTATGTTTTTTTCGCTATCCCAGGGAGTCGCCTGCTAGTATAAATTGAATGTCTGCTACTGTTATTAATATTTAAACGGCAAGTCTATCTACCTCTCTTAGAATGCATATTCTAATACAGCGGTTCTATATTTCATTCTCATAACTTTGTACCACACTGATCAGGGGAAGTAACTGCCACAAAAGGTTTGTAGTGTGTCAGCATTGGTTACTTCCCCTGATCAGAGGGGCAGGTGCCTTGCCTCGTTATGTTTGTGCACTAATGTTTCTGCCAAGCGTTTCCTCAATACAATCAGAAGTTTAACTTTAATTGTAACGAATCGTTCAAAATGACCCTATTTTGATGAAAATTGAACGACTTTCAAAGTTTTTAAAAGGTTTTAAAAAAGAAAGAAAAAAGGAAAGAAAGAAAAAAACAACAACAAAACAAAATATGTATATAATTGCTAGTAAGGTCCATTCAAAGACCCATTGAGATTACTGTCTGGAGCTTCAGTTTAAATATATTACGCTTATGAGATTATAACTTTAAAACTGCAAATGTAATTCAACACATTTTGACTGATATAGTGCATAATACATCAAACAAAGTCATAGATCAATCTTAAAAGAATAATAAAGATTTCGATAAAATTTTATAAGCACATATCTCAAAATGTTTATTCATGTTCTTTAAAATTTATCATAAAAAATTAAAGTGTCATATTTCAAATTATAGAATCATCTTAATTTTGAGAATAAACATAAATCATGAAAGAATTTATTTTGAAACCTTACATTGCACTTGCCGTGTGAAATTCCAGATTTGACATATTTTTTCGGTCTTTTTTTCTTCTAAAAAATCTTAAGCTTAAAAACTATTTATTTATAATATATACATTTACATAAATTAGGTACATAAATAAAACTTACGGGGTGAGAAGGAAGGCTTGTAAAGCTTTTTTGAAACTCTCTCCGTTTAATCAAGTATTTAACAAATTTTATATACATGGTTACAAATTATTAAAATATATTAAGCTAAGCTTTACATATCATATCGACTTGTGCTTGCTTTCTTACGTAAAACATTCTATATTAAGTATTTCGTGAACTTAATTTAAGATCCATTACTGTTGATTGAGGTAAAAACATGGAAATTTAAAAATTCAGTTTTTAAAAGGGGTACATTGGGTAGTTTTGGGTGGGGAAACTACTTAACTTTTGTATGTTTGAAATTTTTTATGATTTATAAATCTTGAAGGAAAAAAAAAAAAGGGCAAAGAAAAAGGAATATGGGAAAAGGAGAGAGAAAAAAAGTCAATTTTCTTCTATGAAGTTTGAAGAGGGGCTTTTTCTTTTTTAAAAGTATTTTTTACATGTTTTTCAAAAAATTTTTGGGTTTTGTTAAATTTTTTGGGATACCCTATTTAAGCATGGTAATGATTATTGGAGATTTATTATTTTTAAATTAAAAAAATATAACCCTTTTAAAATTTTCCCTTTTTTTCATTTTGTTTGGAAAGTGGTTTGGATCTGTTTTGCGTTAAAAACAATGTAAAAAACTTAACTTAACAAAAAGCAACTAACAATTTAAAAGTTATTAAGGGTATTTATCTAACATTATCATTTTACATGATATACATTATCAATGTGTTAACGTATGGTGGCATTGCAATTCGTGTTTTCGCTCCGCACCCCGCAAATCGAAAAGTCGAGAATTAAAAAAAGTTAAACATCCGCGGGACGAAAACACGCTATAAAAGCGAGGGCGCGAGGCGAAGTTTAAAATAAAACTTCGTCCCGCGGGGGTGCGGGGCGAGATTTAAGAGATAAAATTGCAGAGGCACGGAGCGAAAAAACGCTAATTAATGACCCCGCTAATAAGCGTGTTTTCGCTTAGTGTCCCCGCCATTTTAACTTGTTAATTATCGACATTTCGCTTGGCGGGGTCGCGGGAGGAAAACACGCTAATTAGCGGGGACGCACGGCGAAGTTTTATTTTATCAAACTTCGCCCGGAGCCCCCGCTACTTAGCGTGTTTTCATTCCGCGACCCGCCCTTTTATTTCTTAAATCTCGCTCCGCTCCCCTGCGGGAAGAAGTTTTATTTATTTAACTTCACCCCGCACCCTCGCTAATTAGCGTATTTTCGCTACGCGCCTCCGCCATGTTAACATGTTAATTCTCGACTTATCGCTTGGCGGGGTCGCGGGGCGAAAACACGAATGGCACAAATCAGCCACCATAAACAATATCCAAAATTTATCAATGCTGATATCAAGCATAAAGCAGATACTGATACCATGTACTAGCTTTAACTCATGTGACACTAGATTACTAACATGTCATACATCTACCGATTATATATTACATTGTAAGAGATATGCATCAGACAGATTGTTTTAAGTTTTGACTTTATTTTGTTACTTCCTCATTGAGTAACAGGGGGATACAACATTTCACAAATGGAATACGACGTTTGACGATGTCATGATGATATTTCTTCGTGACACATTATCTCCGACTCTGAGTTTAATGGTCATTTCCTCTCTTCTTGGTATTTGTGGCAGAAATGAATCACTTACATACATAAACTTGCATGGAAAACATTTTTTTTCAGAAATATTTAGAAACTTGCAAGTCTATTCCGTTCATGCATACAAATACATGCGAACTAATATGAATCACCAAATCTAAACATATATTGTGAATTATAAAAACAAAAGGAATTCAATTTAAATTTGGCCTTATGGTCCTATTTTTAAATTGTAGGCAAAAGTTTAGCCGAATATATTTGTTTTAAGATGAAAAAAAGGAAAAGTTTGATATTCGGCAACCAAGATTAAATAGGTAAATTTACATTGGGTTATACATGTAAATTAGTAAAGATTAAACAGTTTTCATTTTTAATAACAACAAACTCCTATTTCTCCAGGTCTCCCTTTGCTTCGCTACACAGATCATTGTGAGGAGTTTGTTCCTTCATGTGTACTAATTTTTGTACATGTAATAATAATTGATATTGGACCTAAAACAGTTACAACAAAGTCAATTATTTTATGAATAAATAAAAGTTCTATTTTTCCAAGTTTATTTTTCAAACAAGGGATTTATTTCTACAAGACTTTTGGCATGCACGACTTTTGGCACACATAAGTAGCCTTCAACTAACTTTTGATAGGGAGAACAAACTAAAAAGATTTTTTTTAGAATCAATAATTATTACAATTATCATTTTGTTAATATAGTTTTAGTATATGTACAACAATTAATGTACGTTAACTTTTAAAAGAGATGACTTTATTCTGCAGACAAGGACCGTGTTGGTAAATATAGGCAGCTATATCATCCGGAGCAACTTATAACCGGAAATGTAGACGCTGCTAACAACTACCCTAGAGGTCATTTTACCTTAGGTAAGGAGCTTATCGACGAAGTCCTTGACCGACTTCGTAAGATGACCGATCAATGCACGGGTCTGCAAGGATTCCTGTGTGTTCCACAGGCTTCGGCGGGAGGCACAGGGTCTGGATTGACATCTTTGCTTTTGGAAAGACTTAGGTGGGACTACGGGAAGAAAATGTAAGCTAGAGTTTGCCGTGTATCCGGCTCCAAAGGTTGGCAACAGCTGTCGTTGAGCCCTATAATGCCGTCCTCACCACACATTACCGACTTTAGAACAAAAAACTGCGCTTTCATGGTAGATAATTAGGCGACCTTTGACATCTGCAATAAGAGACTTGACGTGGAGCACCTTCGTATTTAAACCTGACCGATTGATTGGTCAGATTGTAAGTTCAATCACTGCCTTGCTAAGATTTGATGGAGCTCTAAACCCTTGATTATTAACAGGAGTTACAGACGAACTTGGTTCCTTTTTCCAAGAATCCATTTCCTGTTGACGACATACTCCCCGATCATATCAGCTGAGAAGGCTTATAATGAACAGCTTTCAGTTTCCCAGATTGCTAACAAATGTTTCGAACCAGCAAACCAAATGGTGAAATGTGATCCTCGGCTAGGAAAGTACATGGCGTGTTGTATGCTGTACGGAGGTGACGTGGTTCCTA